TATTTATATGAAGGTTAAGCCAATTCTAGGTACTAAAAGTCAAGATTGAAAGTTGTGCAAATGAGTGGAGACACTGAGAAGCCAGTGAGAGTGCTCTCTAAGAACTCAAAACATTCGAGAGTTTGAGAAAATATTGAAAATTGTCGATTTGGCAGAGGGGCATGTGAATTGAAATCATATTAGTTCGAAAGGTGGTATTTATATGAAGGATCAGCCAATTCTACGTACTAAAAGTCAATATTGAAAGTTATTGGGTTCTTATCGCGATGAAGTGAGTCCAGAGTATATTCGACTCTTTGATGAATGGGAAAATAAACACTCACAGTGTAAGTCAGCCTGATTACAAGAAACGCTCAAGAGAATGAAGAAACACACGAATATTTCATTTATTTATTGATGTTTTGCATTAATTAAATATAAATACAAAATCAGACAAAGCATTTAAAAAAAACGTCTAAAAATGTGTTTTAGCTCAATTTTTAAGAACTAAACAATGCACCAATGAATATGGTGAAATCTATCCACTGAATGCTTCATTTCAATCCTCCAAATATCTTTATTTTGCTTATACTATATCGTTTTCTGTGATATTAGGCTAATTCATTGTTTGTTGATGACTTTAAAATGTGATCCGAAGCCGAGAGAGAAAAATGCGACCGAATTATTTATAAGAGCGGCGCCCATATTACCAACTTATTGTTCGAAATGTTATCGCTATATTTTCTATCGTAAATCACTAGACGCACAATTCGTTTAGACATTTTATTAGGATGTACGAGAATAATGTTGCAAATAAATTATGTAAATGAGAAATTGATGTCTGCGTACGAAAATAATAACGGCGTGGAAAAGTACACATCCAATATGTTACTAAATGATGTATTCCATCCATGTTATATTATAATATGTGAATACGGTTGATTGTACTGGGTCGAGCGGTGCGAGAGTCGTATCGACAGTGTTTCAGTTTCATGAATGGATTCATAATATCTCCGTCAAATGTTTCACGAAAAAGCCGTTATTTTTGTGCAAGTGAAAAGGAGAGAGAGAGAAATGAAGAGTGTGATTCGTGTTGAAACGCATAAAATTCCGTTTTAAAATGACTAAAACATGTTTAAACACGCAGCAAATACATGTTTTAAGCACCATTATGTGAATGCGCATACATTTAACAATGATAATAATGAAAAACTTCACCATCCACGTATTTTCTTCCTGCCGTGCTTTCACGAGCCTCTAATGATGGGAATCATTTCGGTGCTCATTTGCAGGTATGTAAATTGATGGGACTTTATTTTGAATCGTTGAACATTGTCATGAACCGGCAAATATTCAAAATTCTTCAAACAATCGAATTGCACGTGTTTTTTTCTACTCTCTCCGACAAGACAAATACTTTTGAAACTGTCAAATATATTACGAGAATCTTTGCATATTTTCGACCTTTGAAATCTTTTTCTAAATTTCTTGTTAGCATTCGCGTGACGTTCTTATTGAACCGGAGAGCGAAGACCGAAGAGAATGAAAAAAAGAGCAAACTTTTAACATTTAGTTGAAACTTTTTTGAAAAAACATCAGGTTCGTTGATGGAATTTTAATAACAATTTTGCTTGAAGCTGCTTAAACGGTCATTAATATTTCAGCATTCAGATCCGAATGAATTTTCAATTTATTACAATAAAATTCGGTGCGGAAACGTGTCGTCGCAAAAATGCACTGTGGAAAGCATCGAGAATAAAACAACCGTCTATTCAATCGGGCAAATATCGCTTATGAACTTCTTCTATTGAAATTTTTTTTTACCCCTCCACCGTCGACGACTTCAATTGAAAACTCAAAAGTGATAAACGACGGCTTTTTTCTAATGACAGACTGAACAAATGGTTGGACAAAGATTCTTTGCACTCTATTCATGATGTAAGCGGGGAGAGAGAGAGTGGGGGAGAGTCAAAAGGAGAATGAGTGAGGCTGACAAAGATATTTTCTACATTTTCAATTTAAGTTTTGGGAATTCTTGTAAAATATGTGATGATAGTTTGCCAGTGTATTTCAATGGATTGTATTCCAATCAGTTTCGTCGTCGAGAACCAAAAAAAGACCATCTTCATTGTTGGATGAAACATCAACGGTTCTATGTTTCAAAGAGCTGATAGTTCGGCACATCGAACGAGATAGATATTTTCACAAAACACGCATTGATGAAAATAAATAATAAAAGTTTTCCTTTATATTTTCGAATTGTGAGTGTCGAACGCTTGGTCATATTATATTTTATGGGTTCAATTACATTCTCATGTCGACGTTACAAAAATGAAAAAGCATTAACCAACTTAAAGTACTTGAGTGCTAAACAATTGAAATGTCGCTACCAAATTCAAGTGGAGATTTTTCAATGTTACACACACTCAAGCGCGAGCGCGCGAACACATGCACGATTCGAAAAGAGTTTCACCGAATCCAATTAATTTATAATTAAAATGCGATAAAATGATCTTAAAATAAAGTTTTGCCATGTCGAGTGCATTGATAGAATATTACCGTTAATCATGCATAACAAATGCCCATTGCAAAATTCTACACGCGGCATTGATTATGGCTCTCTGTATGAAAAGTGAATTTATTGTTATATTCTGGCATTTAAATGTGAGTGGAGATTATACATAATATATGCAAAAGTGTGTCGAAGTCGAAGTTATGTTGCAACAAAACCAGAGCTCTTCAGCAGCTCTTTCGGTATTTTGCTTTTGGTAAAATGTTTTGAATCATGTATATGTACGTATGTGTGTGTGTCTGTATGTGTAAGTGCACATTTGGATGCACGTAAATGTAATAGATGTGTTTTAGTTTTATGCGTTAAGGAAATGATGTAAGGAAATTGAAATGGAAATGAGGCGTTCATGATTTAAATGGAGAAAATTCAGTATTAAATATTTGTACGCATAATTCACAGAGTAAAGAGAGTGACGGCAAACACTTGCCGCCGATAAAGAAACTTTGATATTGCATTGCATGAATGAGACACACTGGAAATTGACATAGGCTTTGAACATATGCTTACGGCCCACACTCTCTGTCTGTTTGTCTCCATCGCTCTAAATACACTATAATTTTAAATTTACAATGTTGAGCAGTTTGAATCGATTTTACAAACGGCATATAAATATTTTTCCGTGATCTAAACATATGTAATATAGTTAGAATATCGAAAAAGATGGGCAGGCGAAAGATGAGAGAAAAACTTATAATGATAAAAGCCTCAGACCAAAAACTAATTTTCGGCAAAAGTCATGTCGGTTTGCCAATTTGGATGTACCTGCCAAGAACACAAATGATACGAACATTTTAACCTCACAATTCTAGACATTTGACGGCCCCTTCTTCTACGGCTTGTTATTCAATTTCTTTTCTTTTACTCTTTTGGCTTGCCATTTGCTGGACGACCACACCATACGAGCACATTTCGAAATGAAAGCCACAAACCGGCATTAAGCATACTCAGCGTATACGTGTTCATTTCGCATTTTCACGTGAATATTCACACGTTTCGCTCTGTTAAATCGCTACAGAACGAAATACAGGGAGTGTGCGTGTATGTCTGTGTATCGACTTGAGTTCTATTTTATTAGGGAGCTGATATGTGACAATCTATGACAAGCACGTATGATGTCGAGAGAGAGAGAGGGAGTAGAGAGAGAGAATCGGTATAAAACCAAAAAAACGTGGACACAGTTTTCTCTGTCGTAGTTATCTTTGTTGAACAACCACTAAAAGTTATTAGATTCATTTTTTTTCGGTTGCTCGGTTTTTTTGTAATGCTTTGGATTTCAATGAAAAATATACACCAACAGCAATTTATTTGAGGCTTATTGTTCACATCTCTCATCTCTCATATATGACTCGGGCACACTGCGTCTATCTCTGACTCGATGACACATACATGCAATGATATTAACACCATTTATTTCTATGTCATATTTATCAAGTGAACATTTTGACAAAATGCAGAAAAAAACCACAGTCTTTTTGCAGGAAGTAAAACATTTTCAACTCTCATGAGATCAAAGTGACAAATAATAATTGCACAAAAGTTACCATTAGATGAATTAAATGTCATTTGGAATTACATTGTCATGATTGCAGGAAAATGTGTTTCGAACAAATATATTCGTTGAAAATCTTTGGTCGTTTCATCGTTAATTTTCGATTTGTATTATCTGAATTGAACCGAAACTATTTTGAAAATTTCAGATGAAACAAATATGATCAAAACAAACTCATTTTGATTAGAAACTCATAGGTGTTGATAAGAATTCATAGCGCTCTGGAGACCTAAAAAAGATCATCAATTTTGATCACCTACGGAATTTTGCCATCATAAAGTATGGTGAACGACGCTGAAATTTGTTATGGACAGAAGACATGAAAATATTGATAAAAATAAAGATGACATTGCTAATTAGATATGATTTCGAATAATAATGAGCTTTTCGTATCTTATGCAATTTTATTTCATCCGATATGCTTAATGCAACATATAGTACAAATGATGCGTTGATTTTCTTCATCAAAAGTTTGTTTGTTCATTTAGATATCAATCAATATTTTATGGGCCGGGCCAAACAATGTCCTCTATCCAATCCAAATAGTAAGCGACTCTTGTGTAAAAGCTGGGAAAATTTGGTGCACCACACACAACACCGAACGAAACAATTCCAACCACTGTAGATGTTTTATTGGTGGCAAAGTATTGCAGAGGACCACCACTGTCTCCATCACAACTATCATTTCTTCCATGAGGATCGTAGGCACAGTATTGCCCCCCAATCAAACCATTTCGAAAAGTCGCATGATCTACTCTGCGATTCCAATTTTTCACTGTAGAAATGCATTCTGATAGTGGCATCGTCATCAATTGCGTTTTAAGTAATCTGTCTGATCTCACACGATCTACAATTGCGAGGTTGATTAAGTTAGTTTACATTTTAATGGTCGAATGGAAATGCCGTAACTTACTTTCATCTGATTTTAATCCCCAACCAGCAACAATGAGCTTAAAATGTGTAGGTTTGTCACGATAATCCGTTTCCAAACATGCTGGCTTAATATATTCTGAAAACGGGATTCCGTCTCTGATCCGAATTAGAGCAATGTCATTCATTTTGGTTAGACTGGAATGCTGAGGATGAGCTATAATATCTCTTTCCTATTCAAAATAATTCACAAATTTATTTCATATTTTTTAGAAATTGTTACATCTTTAATAGTTACCCTTATTCTACGATTGATCGCTCTAACGTCATCTTCATCTGTATCGATTAAAGATACCTGTTAAATTATGATGCATAAAAATGATATTAAAAAATTTAATATAAAAAAAACTTTTTAAAATTGGCGATTATATTCATTTTCTTACTTTTCCCATTCGAGCCTTAACTGGTGGTCTAGGTTTAACACAATGTGCTGCTGTCAATATAAAACTATCCGAAATGATTGTACCGCCACAGTCAAAGGTCGGTTTGTAGCTATTGGCATCAAGGTAGCCAAGAGCAACCTGAGAAGAGAAGTTAAAATAAATTTATTCAAAATGTCAGAGGAGATTCAACGTTAAGAACTACCATCCAGGGAAATTCACCGTCTTCGACCAATTCACCATTTAAAATACGATTTCCTGTATACACTTTACAGGCTGAAAAATTAAAGTACATTTAGTTTTCAAGAATCGAGCACTTTAAGCCAATAATCACCCTTTTCTGATGGGCGCCGATAAATGGTTTTCAAGATTTCAATAATTTTCGTATTTCCTGAATAGAAAGAAGTTAGTCTCAGGCAAATTAATCTACGAAAAGATATGACAAATATAGTTGTAACTTATACCTTTTCTGATGGCAATAGTCATTGATGTGTCATTTTTGTTATCTTTTAAATCAACATTGGCTCCATTCCTCATTAAAATCTCCACAATCTTCTCAAAACCTGAAAAACAATCGAAAATGTTTAATAACAACTAAAAAATTCATTATTCTATTAATCTAGATACCTTTTTCTGTGGCCCAATGTAGAGTTGACCGTCCACCATCTCCTTGAATGTTAACATCAGCACCATTTCGAACTAACACTTCAACGACCTCTTCATGGCCTGAAATTAAGATTGAAGATGCGAATTTTCATTTGATGTAAACAGATAGTCCATAACGTATTAAATGATTTTGATATTTTTGGTGGACATTTTAGAATTTTTTTCCATTCTGACATCGGATCCGGAAAGGTGAGTCTCTTACCTTTTCATCGACGTATAAATCATTGTTGTACCTTACCATGGCCAGGAAAATTTCCGATTGATGAAAAACTCAAAAAGGGCCTCCCAAAAATGTTACCAAAACCACTTACACAACGAATTTTTAGAAAAACAGAAATTATTTTGCTCAGTTTTCAGTCTACTTTCAATAAAAAATGGTTTCAAAACTTTTTTTCAGAAAAGTACGGAAAAAAAGTGTACATACAAACACCTCAAACGGCCAATTTTGAGGTTTTTGGCCATTTTTGGCCAATTGACCATATCTCGTCCACTTTTCAACCGATCGTGATGATCTTTTTTTTTCAACATTATCTACGCTGTCCCAATATTCCGAATATGGCCATTTTTTTTTCGAAAAAGATGATTTCGGTGGTCAAAAATAAAAAAAAAATGAATTTTCAGCGATTTCTTAAAAATTCCACCTGGCTAATTTTTTTGCGGATTCTTAATTTGGTGCGCGAGCACTACTAAAATGTGCAAAAATCTCTTTCCAAAAGTCAGTGGTATCGATTTTCATTTCTTTAACGTATATATAAAGTGACGCAAAATATACATATTTCATATGTATGTTGGTATTGCGTCACTTGGAGGACTGCCATCCCCCGTGATTTCAAAACTACCTTCATGAGCGGCGGCATATATTGGTGTAGATCCGTGCTCATTTATGATGTTTACATCGGCACCATTTTTAATCAGTATTTCAACCACATTCCTATGACCTTTTTTTAATGAAAATGTTCGAATATTATTTTGTTTATATACGTAGTATGAATCCATTTCAATTTGGTATAGGCTTTTTTTCACTCTGTGCAGAGCAAAACATTTTAAATATTCAAAAAATGATTTTGTTACCATTATATGCGGCTGCAAAAATGGCACTTTTTCCGTTTTTGTTTTTCAAATTAATGTCAGCACCATTCCTTATCAACAATTCAACTACATTTGTATGACCTGAGAAAATAGAGATTCAAACAGTTTTTCTATTTTTTGTATTTTGATCGTGTGATAAAAATTGTATGAAATTACCATATGAAGCAGCAATCACTAAAGGTGACATACCGCGTTGATTTCTGATATTAGTATCCACTCCAATTCTTATTAATTGTTCAATTTTTTGTACATCACCTGTGTAAAATAATAAATGATGCATCATGTTAAACGTATTTTCGAGTAAATTTCACTGTAAAATCGACGGGATTTACAATTAATGAACTGCATTCGATGACAACTAATTATTAATAAAATGAATTCGAACAAATTATTTCAAGTATTTTTTTAATATTTGAACTGAGAAAAAGAAATGAAAATGGAGATGGACGGCCGGGGACAAGCTATGAAGCCCTTATAAAGAATCCTGCATAACATTTTAAAAATCCGAAAATTTAGCCTAGTGGCACTAGTAGTGGCACTAAAAAAAGTGGAATATTTCGTTTTTCCCATTTTTATTCGATGGTTTTGAAGTAAAATTCATATGTTACGAGAATAATCGCAAAATACGGCTCAATATGTCACCCGAATTCCAATATGGCGGCACATCAATTGAAAATATACTATGCATATTTTACGAATCATGCATTGAGTGTACGTATTTTGCGAATATTTAGCGAATATTTTAATATTAGCAAGACTCTAAGTTGAAGGTATTGCGAAGTTAGCGAGCCTTGTTTCATTGCTTACCATTTTTAGCAGCGTCGTAAAATATTTGCAATGGTTCTCTACAATAGAGGTTTATAAATAAATAAAAAATATTTTTTATGATTATAAATTAGACTAGCCAAAAAAATTATATGGTATCGAGATGCCCTCTCCGGTTTGGTGAAATAGACGAAAAAATAACATATTTGCCATTTTTGTATAAAATACTACGTATTTTTTTATAGCGGCATCTCGATACCATATACTTTTCCTTGGCTAGTCTATTATAAATAGGATAAAACAATGTTTCAGTTATTGTAAAAAATATTTGTACTTACACGTTTCCTTGCCAAATTGGAGTGTCTGGAACTGATCAAAGTTGACATATATTCAATTTAATTTGAAAATAAAGAGTCTTACAGCAATAAGAAGAACTTTTTCGCACGGTCATCCATGCGTATTCATTGGGCTAGTTCAAAAAATTATTCGATTTTTCAAGCTCTTAAAGTGGAATCATTAAGTTCCAAGCTAGTATTATTATTATTAGTTATTTTGGTGAAGTTTAAAAGTAGTCTATTTTTAATCAAAATACTGTGGAGGGAGTTTCTTGTCATGAAAAAGCCGAACCTGACGTTAGTTTAGCGACAAAATTAATTTTTGATGCTCTTTGCATGTATGATATCGAAATGGTGTGAAACGTTGCACATATCATTTTTGATATTAATTTAGGTGAAAAAATTAAAAATAATATTAATTGGGAAAGTGATAAATAAAAAAAACAAGTGATATTTCATAAAAATATGGGTCTTATTAGATAAAAATAAAATGAATAAGTGATAAACTTACCGGTGCATCTATCGCCAACATAACCAGGATGGCAATGACATAAAACATTTCCGTTGCTTTCCAGTGTGCAAGAATCGGCATTTTCACATGGACAACGATTACATGTGCCCAAAAAACTGGCCGACCGATTTGCATCACGATAGTAGAAGTGGTCGCAAGACTAGTAGCATATTCAGAAATCAAATAAATGTTTGCAATCAAAGATAATATTATGCATAATAAATTAAATTACCTCACAACTTGAGCCAGTGTAACCTTCTGGACAACGGCAAATTTCAATATCTCTAACTAAATCTTGATCGGTATTTTGTTGAACGGCTGTGTCCAAGGCAACATCGCTCAAAGAAACTAGTGATGTTCCTTCTTTGAGTGTGGCACGTACTAAAATTGCTTCCAAATTACTCAAAACGATTAGCAAATCAGCGCGCGAGGCAACTTTTGAACCGCCTTCATTAATACTCTGCCAGTCTGATTCTTTGAATAGAGCTTCAGTTCGGTTTTCATTTGGATTGAAACGAGTCCACACTAACGTGATTCTGTTACCACGAATGATAATGTCTTGATCGGGAATGTATGTACCATATGCTTCATTTCCAATGCCGAATGATAAATATCCACCATATGACTTGAGTTGATTGCCTAAGAAACGTTGTGGTAGGCTCCAATAATATGTGTTTCCATTGTAAATACGATTTGAAAGTTTATTAGTTGCAAAATCAATAGCTGGATCTTCATTTGTTTGAACTTCTCCGAAACGATTTGTTAATGGGAATTTGTCTTCGAAAATAATAGCTTGAATTTGTTGACGGTAGAATCGTGAAGCGGAGCAGGTCCGTGTTACACCTGAACAAAAACACTCGGTGCATCCAAGGGGATTAACTCGGTCGTAATTATAAGTGCCTTGGCGACATTGATCGCAACGGTGACCAACAACATTGGGCTGAAGAGAAAACCAATATGTAATGAATTTACTTATTATGATGTTTTTTTTTTTTAATTTGATAAATTGGTGTGATATGACTTATTACCGGACAAGTGGTTTGGTTTCCATGAGATTCGTCAGTTGAGCAATCGTATTGTGTTCCACGAGTTGCGTCGCCATTATAACCATTGGCGCAGCGTTCACAGCGATCACCTTCGGTATTGTTTCGGCAATTCTAAAATATATTTTTTGTTGTTAAAAAAAAGTAATAAAATATGTTTTTGCTGAATATATTGTATATAACCAACACTAAAGATTAAACTTACATGACATACACTAGTTTCACCATCACATTCATCTGAATGTCCATTGCAATCACATGGTTCACACAATCCCAAATATAAACCACCTTGACTACGTTTGTAGCCTGAAAATATAGTTATATTCCGAATAAAATCGATTATCTATTTAGACAAAAAAAGAGTGTTATTTATAATCCCACCTGGTGCGCAATCTTCGCAACTGTATCCTTGGTGGCCAAGTGGACATGAGCATTGTTCTACTTCAGATGCACGTACATTATTACCAGTATAGTGTTGACTGGCCGTATCCAAAATAACTTGAGATAATGCTGCTTCGCCTGTTGTCGTTGTATATGTAGCTTTGATGAAAATATCTGAAACATCAGCCAATATCATTAGCAATTTTTCACGACTGATTGTAATTCCATCCAGACGTTGCCAACTCTCTTCTAAAATTGGTACGACATACGATTGTAAACTGTTTGGTGCTACTTCATCGCGACGATGATGCAAAATAGTAATATCGTTGGCACTGCGAATTACAACATCTGGTGCATTATTGCGTGACATACTTCCGCCTGGTGTTGGTTTATATCGAATGCTATACTTTAGATTTCCACCGTATGAAGTGATTTTATTGCCGGCAAAATGTGATGGTAAACGCCAGAAATAAATATCAGTATCGCCAGCCAAATCATGGACTGAAACTTCATTATTGTAAGTGGTAATATCGAGATCACTTTCTTGTGGATTTTCATAATCGGTAATCATGGTAATCAGCGTGAATTCATGACGATTCTGTGCAAATGTTGGACGCACCGAATCTCTGTACAATGAACTACTTGTACATGTTTGACTGACACCATTACAGAAGCACTCAATGCAACCTGTACTCCATCTTGGATTCAAGAAGAATGAATGACTTGAGCATTGATCACAGCGTGAGCCGGTTACATGTTCTTTACATTCGCAACGACCATCTGGATGCTGTCGAAGTGTTCCACGAGGATCACAATTTGAAACTGGTACACTTAAAATTGTTTCGGGAACAACAAATTTCGTGCCTTGATTGTTGAGCAATTCGCATGAGTAGGCACCCGAATCTTCTACACCGATATTTGAACAAGTCAAAACACCATATCCATTATGACTTGTGGTAGTACCTAGGGTTAATCACATAGAAAATGATGGAAATAATGGAAATTAATCAATAAGTAATGGAATAGCAATTTTTTTGGTAGTACATTTTTCTGGAATATGACCCAAGTTCAAACGCCATGAAACCAGTGGCGTTGGAACACCAATTGCTCTGCAAGTAATATTGAATGTTTCGCCTGGTTGTAAGTAAACACTTGGTGGCGGTGGTTGTACAACAGTTGGTTTAATGCAACCAATTTCATCGGATCCATCGATGCAGTCCCTATGACTGTCACATTCAAATGTTTTTGGAATACACTGACCGCTGCGACATTCATATTCGCTTCCCGAACATTGTGATCCAGGTACCACTGTTCCATTACAATCTTGTTCATCAGAACCGTCTTCACAATCATTCTCGCCTATGATCAACATAAAATTATATTTGAGTTGTTTGTTTTCGACACAATTTGCACTAGATTTCTAAACATATTACTAATTAAAATTTTACTTACCATCTAAATGTAAAAGAAGTAGTATGGTGAATAATCAGTTATTAAATCGGCAATTTTTAATGTCAACCAAAAGTGAAGAAGAAAAAATTGTTTAAACTCACCGCATCGCCATGTTTTCAAAACACACTTATTATTATTACATTTGAATTCATTTGGCTGACACTGACCATAAGCTCTGCAACTAGATTCATCAGAACCGTCGGCACAGTCCTTGTAACCATTACACAATACGTGCTTTGGAATGCATTGACCATTCATGCATGTGGCTTCATACGAAGAGCAAGCTGTTTGTGGACGTTCCCAATCAAGATTACCTAAATAAATAATACGCAGTGCAATTAGTTCCGACTTATACGAATGTTGCATTTGCGAGCGAATGTTTCATACATATTTTGCGAATGGAAGCAAATGATCACGCATACAAACTAAACACAGGAATGTTTATGCACAAATCACGACAATATGTCGCATCTCGCTATATACTTTATTTCGTATATTTTACGTATGAATAGGAAAAGTTTATATTTTGCGAATAAACTGCCATTCACGAATAGTAGAAAGCCCCTAGGTATAAATATAATTGAGAAACCAAAAAATCAAATAAGTATCCGAGAAGGAATGTGAGACTTTTTCCGAGATTTCATTGAGGTGTAGCATCGCTATCCAAAAAATCTGCATTTTTGTATGGTGGTGTTATATTTCAATAAAAACTAACGAGAAATCTCACACGCCATTAACAAACCTGGACTAAAAAATTCGAAACCAATATGCGGTACTTTTCCAAACTTTAGTTTCTTTTTTGGTTGTATAAAATCATACAGAATCCATACTTTGGTTTGCATGTAAAATTATTTCAGTATTCAATTAAGAACTTTGCATTTTTTTTTCTGGTATTATAATTATGAAATTAAAACCAAATTGTTGAAATACTTACGACGCTCAACTGGAAGATGAACACCAACTTGAGCTCCGGGAGTTGATGATGGGACACCAACTGCTTCACAAATATATTCTCCACTATGTTCCAACTGTTCAAATGAAGGAAAAACACAATGAAAAGATTTACGAATACAGACGGTGACACTTAATCCAAATAATAATAACTAACTAACTAACTATAATTTGACATATCCAATGAGCTGTCAAAAATTGTTGGTGTGAACACAACTTACTCGAATATTCGGAATTTCTAAGCGACCTTGTTGATCCTTTGAACCAGGTGGCAATGGGCGACCACCTGGTCGAGTCCATCGAACTGGTACACGTAATACACCTTCATCACGACACTGGAATACAACTTCCAAACCTAAAATATTATATTAAATTTCAATTACTATTTGGCAATTAACATTGTTCGCAATAAATTTCGTTCAGTGAATATCTTCATGCGTTGATTCGGATTTGACTATACTGATCTTTTTAAATAAATATAAGTTGGGAAATCTTAAAACTGAAAATCCAAAAACAAATTACTATTCATGAGAAATCTTGAGTCATTTTTCAGTTTCATAGAATAGTAGAAGTTTTAGAAATTTTGAACATGCACACTGTAGATATGATAATTAATATCAAATGAGTTGGTTAGTATGTTGGCATGCATATTTCGATAGATTCAGAATCAGACTTACCCTCACGAATGTATCCTTTGTGATTAGCAATTGAAATTAATAAATTTTAATTGTAGTAAGATAGAGTTTAGAATAAACAAATAAATACATATTTTCATATTATCGTTGTTATATTAAAAAGCACAGTTGTTGTTTGAAATCAGTGAGAAAAAAGTCATTAAGCATAAATTACAATTACGTTTAAATCAGTAATGTGCGAAGGGGGGGGGGGGGTTTACCCCCCCCTGTGATTTGGTTGAGAAATTTTTTTTCGCGAAAATTATTCGAATTTGCTAGGGTTTTTCATGAAAAAAGTGAAGACCTTTTTTTTTTTTTTTAGCTCATCAATGTAGAAAATTGAGGAGAATTCTTCAAATTTGCTAGGGTTTTTGGTTCCGAGAGATTTTTTTCCGATTTGCTAAGGTTTTTCGCGGAGAAAATTCTTTCGATTTGCTAGGGATTTTCGCCTCAAAAAGTGACTTCCAAAAAAAAAAAAAAAAAAAAAAAACGAAAATTTGTTTGATTTGCTAGAGAATTTTTGGTTTTTGAAAAATCACCCCCCCCTGTAAAATGTAGCTCGCACATTACTGGTTTAAATAGTCGATAAAAGAAGTGAAATAAATACAATTTGTTGAAAAAAAATTTAATATTGTTTTGAGAGAATTCATTATCATTCATACTTACTTTCTTTGATCGTTTGATTGTTTGGATATGTTTTCAATTCCAAGCGATGGTTGATTCCATATGATGGTTGTGGGAGTTGTTGTGGTTTTGATGCTGCAATTAAAAGTCATGGTAAATTAGAATTTTTATCATTTTCGGGCGAACAATTTTTGAATTATAATTGATGAGTAAATTGTGTATTAATTTATTAACCATTTTGTTTGATGCATATAAATGATTGACTATTAGATGTGCTTTTCATTAGTCATCATTAGTTTTTTGTATAAGGGTTTTTATTTTGGTAGTTTGGTTGTATCACTTTTCGATATTTGAATTTGAATGTTATCTCTTGGATATTAGATTGTATGTGTATGTCGAGAGACTGACTATTCGTTTGTGAAAAATTGTGAAAAAATTCCGACGATTCTATAGCATCCATACAAAAATTCACATTCACACACCACATAATTTGAATTAAGTATATGTCCATTGTCCATAGTCTATTTAATATTAATTGGCTAAAAAGCTTTACTGCTTTTAGAAATTAGAATCAGTTAACACTTCTAGTGCACATGCAATATGTTTCGAGAAATAAATATTCGTTCGGTTTTTTACGGATTTACTAAGACATTTATTTTTTTGTTAATCGAAATATACCTGTACTGCAACTGATTAAAACGCCAGCCATATATAGAATGATCACGTTTAACAAATTCATGGTTAGATTTTTTCCACTCAATATCATCCAAGAAGAAGTGTTAACTGAAATGAGAAACGAAAATATCTATTTAGACTTCAACTTTTTTGGTTTGACTACAGCAAATGAGGTGAGTCAGATTATTGAATTTGATATTTGAATATAACAATGTATAATCAGTTCCATTTCAATGATATCCCTAAACATCACTGTCAAACAACTAGGCGGCCAACGTACATATACTACATTCACAACCCTATAGGAATTGTATAGCATATTGTAAACAATGTTACTGTATACAAGTGACAGTATTTTATATTCACGAAAAATGGAAAAAGATAATCATTTGTTTTTTCTTCAATTCTAAAATACTGGTCAATTTTCTGAACGAAGTGCCAATAAGAATGAAAGAATTCGCATTCCTTGTCATCCAAATTAGGCTTGGCGAATAGTACACGTAAATGTTATTTGGCTGCTCTATATGGCAATCTTATATGGACGGTTAGGACTAAAGTGAACCCAAATCCTGATGAAAATAAAACGGCAACATATTTTTTTTATTGAGTAATTACAACACATGTATTTTGATACAAGGCAAAAAAATTGAGTTATTCACTAAAAATTTGTTTAGTCAATGACGTCATTAAACATCGTGAATATGTGCCGACTAAATCCTGAAATTATCGCTCGTGCATTCTTTTCCATCACCCTTACAACATAAATAATCTTTAAAATCAATCTGTATAAAATTAAAAACGAAATGATAAAATAAGGCGAAAATTGAAAACAATATTTTTTCGCCTTAATTTATAAGTTGTTTCAGCTCATCTCTCAGTTACATAAACATTTGAATAAAAAAATGTACACAGCAATCATAACATGAATTTTTCTTCAAAATAAAATATACATAAGACAGTTCTTTCCGATTCACTAATCAATAAACTAGTACTAACTTTACAAAATGACACTAGTTCCCAATTGAAATATAAAACACTTCAATTAAAAGAAATTAATTTCAAATTGGTTCATCTCAGAATGACAACTAAGTGGCTTTGTCGATATAATTGCCAAATATAACTGAAAAATTGATAACGAAATAAAACGACTTTATATGGACTTTCGAATACTTTTAATCACATTAATTTAAATGTTTTGATTTGAGTATGTTAATTCATTGCATACTCACATATGAAATAGAAAGAAGAGAACACAGTTCGTAAACGTTTTTGAACACTGATAAGATATTTTCGCTTATAGTCAGGTCAAGAATAAGTTCATTATTTTTTTCGTGAATTTTAAAAAAATGACTAATTTGTTATTTGCACAGCAGAAAAAAAGTTATAATCAAATAGAAAATCAAGCAAATGTCTCTCTGTATTTAGGAATATATCCGCGATAATTTGGAATATCTCGATATTTAACGCAACTGCACAGAACTGTGTGAGTCACACATAGAATCTAGGGTATGTCGCTGCAAGAGTGCTTACTCAATTTGTCATAACTTAGTCCTAGTCCTGATGAGTTTGTATTAGTACATAGGTTACATTGGTTTCAGAGTAAAAAAAACGTCTGTCTTTTGAACGCAGCGACTATAAGAGATTTTCAGAAAAATTGTGTTTTGGCCACTGTATTTGTTTTGCTCTAGCTGCCATAAAAACGGCTCAAATACAGGAAGCCGTATATTCATTTTCTCGCTATCAAACTGAGTGCATCTGCTTTGAATTTTATGATTTGGGACTCAATACCGATAATTTAATTCCAAATTTTGCAATAAAAAAGTGCTGCCTGACATGCCTGATATGCGTTTTTATATCACAATTATTACCATGAAAGAAGCCATAAGAAAACCATAAATTTATTGCCTAAAACGATAAAAAATAAAATTCACATATAGTTGGCACTGCATTCTATGCAAACTTGTTTTCCGTTGCAACGGACTAAGTGAAAAGTATACGCCTATTACATAGAATGTAGCGCCAACTATACGTGAATTTTAATTTTTTATCATTTTGGGCAGTAATCTTATCGCTTCTTTGTTGCGAGAATGTCTTTTTTTATATAAAATATTGCCTATATCAATACATACTCTCCTGATTCTCCATCTATAAATGAATCTCTGACGTAACTTTTTACGTTCAATTTTTTTCTTTTGTCGAATTAAGTAGGTGCAACTGAATACTGAATATGTCTATCTCTCGGAATATGTTTCACTGGCCACTAAATTTGCAGTTATTGTATTTTTTTCTGAAGAAATGTTCACGTAGCGTCTAACCAGCGAACGTCACACAAATGTTAATACTAATAAATCTTCTTGACGCTTTTCTTTTTGAATTCCGTTACACGTTTCATTCAAATTTATCTCATTTTTTCCATGCGACACCGAAATCTACGTGTGGTAAACGGTGAGTTCGTTTTCCTCCTCCGATGGTGTATTGTGTAAGCCCCCGGAAAAAAGATGTTCATTGCATGAATCAGTGCGACATTTATAATCTTTTTGCTGAAAATTGCAAAGTAAAGTCAAAAGACTTGGAGTAGAAGGTATTTAGTCGTAATCAATTGTGTACTTCAGCCTAAGTTATACATATTATTTTCAACAACATTTGATACATTACCCATTAGAAGTGTTCTCACTGCAATTTTTGTCGGAAGTCTTTTTTATGAATGGATATCAAAGTGGGTGTTCATTTGACGACATGCAAAAGGGTAAACGCTTAAGCGGTGTCTACGATATCAGTTTGAGTGGATTAATGCTTGCAGATCTCAATGTTTTATTTGTTTGTTTTTTTTCGCGACATTTTTTCACACATAATCACTTCAAGTATTTTATGTGCTACTTTACTGCAAAGACAAGAGCGAAAGACTGGAAGGAAATGTAGTAAATGCACTTTAGCCGATTTTACTGTGCGCGACAAGTATAAAGTGCATGTTTCAAGTATTTATCACTTCAAGTGATGTTAAGCAGTCCACAGATCTAGGTATCACGTTGTTACTTTGTCAACTGTCTGATGGCTTTATGTGTCGTTCCGTTTATTAGCTTCTCGATTTCAGCTTCTCAAAATGAATTTGAAACAAAACAAATTGACTGTATTTTTTTCGTCGTATTGCAGAAAATTGTGAAATGAAAAGAAATGTTCGCTTCAATTTTCACAACTTTTTATTTTCTTTTACAATTAACGATAAACCATAAAATCTAAAACAAATATATTTTTTTTTCAGGTAATTTGAATAATATTTTTCATTCTGTTTTGCTTATCATGCTCTACGTTTTTATTTATTGGCTTTTGAATACATTTCGTGTTCGGGCTACTTTAATTTGAGGTCGTTAAACGAGTCGCTTTTAAATAGATCACCAATATCAAAACCAAATCGTTTTAAATTAAAACAAAAACAAATTAAACTGTAGCTGTGCACCGGGCATAGTTCGATTGATTTAAAAATGAACCATCAGTTGTATGGTTCATTATCACCACGACCCAATATCCAATCCATTAATGTTGATGATGTATTTTGGGTGTTTCGTGTATTTGGTTTAAAATCTGGTCCAAATAATTCAGCCATCGCTTCTGGTGGCATATTAGCCATATCTTTTTGGAATATATTCATTTGACGGCGACGTTGCTCACGTTCCTCTTTCAATGTTTTATCACGGGATTGACTGACTTTGTGCAGTTCGGATAATCTGGTGAGGATATTAGATAAAATTAGTTGATTTTTTTCTTAATTATGAAAACTCGAAATTTGAATGAGTTAAAATATGGACAAATACGTGTGCTTCTCCAAATTAACTGGGATTAACTTACTTCAAATCCAAATTATCGCTTTGCGAAGGTTCGTTAAAACTGCCATCGTGTGAAGAATGTGCATCGCTAGAAGCTGGATTCGATTTTACTGGGCTGGTGCTTGATTCCAATGAATCAACGCCTATTGAAGGAAGAATTAATTAATTTTTCGTATCAAATATTCGGTTAGAACTGCTATAGGCACCGAGGTGTGGGCACTCTTGTTTGCATTTACCATTCAGGCGCCACATAAATTTTTTTTTATAGAAAAAACATTCTTCGGTGCCAAAAACAGCTCAAATATTTATGTGCGTGTGCTTACCATCAGCTCCGGCCTTTTGTTTAAATTCTTCAAATTGACGAATGGAATTAGATAGTTTCAGTTGCAATGTATCACGTTCGTCCAGTAGATGTATGACTTCTTCTGTGAGTTCTTCGCATCGCATATCACGTTGATGAAGCATATACAGTGCCAAATCCAATTCATTACCTTTGGATGGTTGTTCTTCGGTTTGACTAACCGATGGGAAGAAATTGCTCGATGTGGATTTCATAGCGTATGGATCGACAGATGCGGCAATTCGTGCATATTCCGCACTTCGAATGGCCAATTGTTCTTTGAGTGAGACAATTTCGATTTCCTGTTGTTCCAATGCATTTTGCATGGTTTTGATCAATTCACTTTGATCGGCGTTTGCATCATCGGATTCGGGTAATTCTGGAATAACTGAACGTGATTCACCGGAGGTGGGTGTATTCTGTGTTTCGGATGTTGTCGAACTGGTTGTATTTGATTGCTGTTCAATTTGCAAAAGTTTTTCACGTAAATCACTTCCCACCGCTGCAAATTCGTCTTCTTTTATTTGCAAATGTTGGCGCCAACTGTCCGCTACTTCGGCGCATTTTTGATCAACAATTTGTTGCCACTGAGCATTCAATAAATCGACATTTGATTGATGTAAAAGATCTTTCTCTTGCAGTTTACCAACCAATTCGGTTATTTGGTGCTGTTGATTTGGATCCGGCGACGCATTGTGTTGTGTTTCTTTAATTTGTTGTAGGCTATTTTTTAATTCGGCAATTTCGATATTTTTCATATCCAATTCAAGAACGGTGCTCTTGATTCGGTCTTCAATTTCTAAATTTTTAATCACTTGATCGTTCAGCACTTGTAGTTCAGCTTCCATATTTGCTTTCTCTTCGCGTAATTCATTCACAACCTGCTGCAATTTCTGAATATCAACAGTACTTGTACTTTCTAGTGGTGGCGTCACTGGTGCTTGGTTCTTCAGTAGATTTTCATTTTCGGCCATCACTCGAGCTATTTGCTGACGCAGCTCGGCAATTGTATTGGCATTATTTGACAATTCTTTATTCAAACGTTCATATTCTTGATCAAATGTTTTCTTTTGATTCTCTAATTTCTCATTAAATGCACTGATTTCGGAATCTTTGTACTGAATACTTGCGGTCAAGTCTTGAATACGTTGTTCGGTATCGTGGGAATTTAGATTGTAAACACGCATCTCTTCGACTTGTTTGGCAAGTGCTGCATTTTTCTCAACCAATTCGGTTAGCTTCTCCGATAGACTGGTATTCTCATCGATCTTTTGCTTATGCTCATCTTTCAATTGATCTAAATGCAATTTAATATTGTTCGATTCCTCCGATAATATTTCAATGGTCGCTTTGAAATCGTTATTTTGACGTTCAAGTGCAACCATTTTTTCATGTAATTTATCAATTTCGTTGGTTTTTATTGTAATATTTTCTTCCAGTAACACTTTTTCGGCGGTTAAAACGCGCAATTGGTCGAAATACTGGTCGCGTTCATCTTCAAATTCATCTTTATCGGCCGCAGCTTGTAAACGTTGAATTCGCTCCTCAAGCAATCGATTTTGATTTTGTGATTCGGTCAACCGAGCAGCAATTTCATCTTGCATTCCCGGTTTTGCACCACCCTCATCACCCCATTCATTCAATTTTTCCAATCGTCCATTCAACTCACGTATTTTTGTTTTACACACTTCAATTTCAATATCTTGTTTGTCTTTCATTTCCGTCATACGATCGTTGGCCGCCGTCAGCACATCGATTCGGCTCAAAAGTTTCTTCTTCTCTACTACATCTTTCTCTTGTTCGGCTTTTGTTTCTTTCAACTTTTGTTCCAAAGCCTTGATTTGACCGTTGAGCTCTTCTTGGATGGCCAAATCCAAGTCGTTTGATTCAACAAACGACGGTTTCGATTGTATTTTTGAATGTTGATGCTCGTCTATCTTGACCTTGTATTCTTTAAGTTTTTTCAATAATTTTTGATACTTCACTTGCAACGACGACAATTCACTGGAAATATTGTCACGTTCATTTCGAATTTCATCGATTTGAATTTGCAGATTGATGGCAGCTTGATTCAAAACCGCTTGATTTGTACTGATCGATTGTTGTTGATGTTGTTCTTCCAAAATGGCATCATTTCCCCATGCAGATTCTCCCCAGTCATCGTTCATCGGTGACAAAGTGCGCTGTTCCTCCGGACCGCAGACATAGGCTTTTTTCGGTACGATTGCCTCTTCAACGACAGGCAATTGACCGGAATAGTCGGGTTCACCGGTCTCTTGGAAGTTACTTGTGATTGAAGCAAATGGATTGTCATCATTTGGTGAAAAAAAGAATGAAGCAGCACTTGGCAATTGGGAAACTTGGTGAGTTGGAATAGAAACTTGTTCCGTTGCTGTATTGGTTTCTTGCACCGAAACTAATTGCGCTCTGAGTTCAGCTAATGATGAGTTCAACGTAGTTAGCTCGTCTTCGTATTGCTTTGCTTTGGTCGATAAAATTTTATCGAAATTGGTACGTTCAACATGATGCTTCATGATTTCTTCATTGGCCGCTTTCAATTTATGTTCTAAGTCGGTGACGTATTTCTCCAAATCGGACACATTTCGTTGAAGATCTTCAATTTGTTGTCCATGATTTCCGCTCGACGATATATTCGGATTGGCGGCCGGTTCGATTGGAGCTTGTATTTCAAATGGAGAAACATTCAACGCTTGTGTTTGATGACTCACCATAATCGGTTCGTTTGCAATACTCTCCGATCCACTTGAAACATTGTGATTTCTCTCTTGTAGACGAGCGATTTCACTGTCCTTTTCCATGCAGAGCCGTTGCAACTCTGTGTATCGTGCTTTTGAGTCGGCGATTTCGTGTAGCGTATTTTCTAAACGTGTTTCTAATTCGGATACTTTTGAATTAAGTGTCATTACATCGTTCATGTCAGACGTGGTGTTTGTGAATGAGGAGAATGGATCGTTCGAAATGCCTCCGGCTGACATTTGCAATTGTAGATTTTGCCGTTGGTAATTTTGAATTTCAATTTCCTTTTCGGCCAACAGTGATTGCAAGCGTTCGTTTTCGTTTTGAATGAATACCTGGTCATCGGTTTGATTTTGACCGACTTGCATGCGAAGCGAGTCCAATTCTGTAAAAACATAAACATTAATTAATGAAAACAGAATACGTTTGTGTTCTGAAATAGGTCGTATTTAAATTTATTCACCTGCAATTTGTTGACGCAATGCGGCCAATTCACTTTCATGATTGGCATGCAATTGTTGAATTTGATGTCGCAACGTTTCGATTTCGGTTTGATCGTGTGCAATTTGCAACCTTAATTGTTGCACTTCCATTTGGTCTTGTGTAATATTCTGGCCAACATTCATTTGAAGTGCGTCCAATGCACTAATTTGCTGTCGCAACAATGTTATTTCCGTTTCCAATTGTTGCTTATGCATTCGAAGACTTTCCACTTCGCTGGCATCACGTTGCAAATGTTCGTACGATGCACTCAATTCGGTGATGCGTGAATGTAAATTGGCAATTTCATTTTCATGATCAGTCACCATTTGATCATTTCTCAAGCGAAGATTCACAATTTCCGTTTGATCTTCGCATATCTGCGTCTTTAATGTGTCCAACTCACGAATTGAATCATCTCTAACTGTTGCCAGCATCGAATTGATGCGTTCAACTTCGGCTTCGGCGACGGTACGTGCCTCTGCAGCTTCGGTCAACTGAATTTGCAGCAAATTCAATTCGGACGTATGTTTTTCAACCAATTCCAAATTTTGTGCATGCAAATTATCAACTTCAGTTTGATCCTGTACCACTTGCATGCGCAATTCTTGGGCTTCAAGTTGATCTTGAGTCATTGTATCGTTTTGCATCTTTACCCATGTCATTTCTTTTTCCAATTCATTTCTACTCAATTCAAGGCTGGATTGTGATTCACGCAATTGCACAATTTGATCCTGCAGCAGTGCATTCTCTTCGATCGATTTCTCCAAATTCTCTTGCATCGAACGACGATCCCTTTCAATGCTTTGCAAATGATTGCTCAGTTCATTCTCCAATTCGGATAATTCCGTTTGTTTTTCGGTAATCTTTTGATCGAATTCATGTTGTTTGCGAGTGAGTTCACTTTCAATTTTCTCAATGCGACTGGATAGCTCTTTGTTCTCTTCCTCCAATTCGACCAGTTTTGTTGATTCCAATTCATAAATGCGTTGTTCTAATTCCTCGTTCTTTCCGCTCCATTCATTCATTTGATTTTCATAGTCTTTCAATGTCTCTAGCAAACCGTCTCGTTCGCTCTCCATATCTTGAAGTTTTTTCTCGATGATCTCATCCTGACCGACCAAAGTGCGTAATCGTTCAGCGTACTCATCTTCGGCGTTTTCAATTTGTGATTGTTTTTCCTTCAATTGTGAGCCCAACAATTCGGAATGGCGTTCAAGTGACGATCGTCTCTCTTCGGCTTTGCATATACTCTCCTCCAATCGAGCGATGCGATCTTTCAACTGTGCATTTTCTGTTTCAATTGATTCCACCACCAAATCGCTATTTTGAAGTTTTGTCTCAATAAACGAGCGATAATTCTCAAAATCTTCGTTGATTTTATCCTTTTCACTTTGCGCTTGATCAAGTTGCAGTTTTAATTCATTGGCAGACACTTCGGACGATTCTTTATTTAGCATTGCCTGTTCAAGCTCTTGAAGACGTTTGATTTCCTTGTTCTTCTCCTTTATAATGGCTTTGCACTTTTCGATTTTAATATTTTTCGCCTTCAAATCGTCAGCGGTTTTGGTAAGCTCCTCTTTGACCGCTTGTAATTCAACTAATTTCCCTTGAAGTTCGGCGATTTCATTCTGTTTGGCATTCAAATTTGCACACAATTCGTCGAATAAATGAGTCTTTTCGCTCAAACATAATTTAAGATTTTCGACTTCGGCCACCTTACGATCGATGTCATCGCGAAGAGTCACGGTGTTTGCTAAAGACTCGTGCAATTCTTGTTCCAAATGTGAAATTTTCTCACGCAATTCCGAATCATTGCTTGTCTGCTGCAACGGAACACTTTCCACCTGTTGAACTTGTTGTGGCACTATGACCTGTTCCACTTGGCTTTCCTTTGACAATGCATTGAATTTCTGCTCTAATTCGATGTACTGGGCATTTCTCTTCTTCAAATTGGCAGCAAACTTTTTCAATTTCTCCAATTGCTCTTTATTCTTTGTCTCAAGCTCTTGCCGCTGTTTATCCCATTCATTCATCTTTTCCGTTAACTCTTTTTGCCATTCGGTCTCCTTTCGTTTCAATGCCGAATCCAATTCTTTTGCTTTGCGCTCACTGGCCAAATTATTTTGATTCATTTTCTTGATGTCGGCCTTATTTTTATCGATTTGCGATTGCAATAGTTCAATTTCATCGTCTCTTTCGGCCAATTCAACGGTATGCGATTCCATTGATTTGTATAAGTCCATGATTTGTTGATTCAATGATTCGATGGTTGATTGTTTATGATCTAAATCGGCAGTTTGTTGTTCAATCAATTGTTTATTTTCATCCAACAGTGATTGCAATGTAGTGATTTTCTCATTTAATTCATCGGCATAGCTGGCATTTGCATTCTGCATCTGCGATTGAGCATCACGCAATTCTTGTTGAAGTTTCTCGATTTGTTCTGTATACGATGCAATTTGAGCTTCTTTTTGATTCTGCTCCACCTCATGTTCGGTATATGCAGTTATCAATTGTTGCTTTTGCTCGTTGACTAAATCACGCAAAATTTCCAACTCCTTTTTATTTGATTCCAATAAATTATCGAATTCTTTTCGTTGTTTTTGCAATTCTTGGAAATCACTTTCTTTTGCGTCGTCCAGGTCCATTTGAAGACTCTTTATTTGCTCGTTCAATCGATCATTTTCGGATTTTAGCTCAGCTACCGACCTGTTAAGAGGAAATTGATTAAAAATGTTGTTAAAAAAACATCAAAATTGTGTACATACTTTTCGAGATTATTGTGTGAGCTCTCCTGTGTTTCGACTTGTTGCTCTAAATCGTCACATTTTGATTTGAGGTTCTCCTTGTTTTCGCGCAGTTCATCGATTTGTTGTTTCAGCTCCTTGATTTCCTCCTCTTTATCGCTGGCACAAAGCTGACTCTTTTCGAGTTCAGCCCGAGAGGTACGTTCACCTTCAACTTCTGCCTTGAATGTCTCCAGTTCTTCAACGCTACTATTATAGCTCAATAGCAGTTTTTCCATCAGTTCGGCCATATTCTTTGACTCTCTTGCCAATTTCTTTGAAGCAGCCACCTTGGCGTTTTTCTCCTTGGCACTACGATAATTATCAAGTTCGGAGCAAAGATTCTTCAGTCCCGTCGCATATGTGCTGCTATCGACAAGTGGTTCATCTTGCTTTTTGGATTTTGAACTAGCCAATGCTGAATCCCGTTCCTTTGTCAGTTGAATAATGTCATTTTCTAATTTCAATTTTACTTCTTCTACTTCTTTAATGGTGACCGCTAATTTATCGCATTCACCTTGGATTTCGCTCATTTCCTTTAGTGTTGATAGATTGGCCGCTTTGGATTTATCAAGTTCTTCAAGTATGCGAACCTTTTCGGCGCGTAAATCATCAATCGTTTGTGAAAATTGCCGATTTTCCTCAAGAAGCGACTCAAGTTTTTTTTGTGAATCGTCAGCATTGTCATTGATCGATTCATGGCAATCGGATTGCGGTGCATTTGAAATATCATCGGTGTGATCACAATTTTCTTGCCGTTCGATGATATTTGTTTCTGCCGCTTGTTGCAAACGATCCATTTCAAGTTTCTCTTCTTGTGTGAGACGCTCCAGAATTTCGATTGATTCAACCGAACTGCCTTTGCTTAGTTTATCGATTTTCTCTAATAATTCCATATTTTCACTAATATATCGATCCAATTTCGATTTCAGATCTTTCTTTTCGGCCACCAATCGATTGATTTGCCCATTTAATGCGTCGATTTCCTTGAGCAACGATTCAATGCGTTCTTCATTCGCAATGGAATCCATTTCAGACGTGACGTCTTGTTTGTCTTTATCTTTGATGTGACCCTTCAACGATGTCAATTCGGTTTTGGTTTCATTCAAATCGGCCGTCATATCGAGCTTTTGCTCCTCCAACAGTTGAATGGCCGATGTTTGATTTTGGCATGTTGTTTCCAATACTTTAATCTTCGCCTCCAGCTCTTGGGTGCTCTTATTATGATCACCATCACCGTCTTCAGCAGCCGATTCTAAGCATTGACTCTTTAGCGACGCAATTTCTGTTTCTAATTCCTTTAGTTTTTCGCCAAGTCGTTGATTTTCATCCATTAATTTAACTAATTCCTTATTTGTATCCGATGTCTTTTTGAATGTATCGATTTGCTTTTGCAACTGTTTCATTTTCAACTTGGTTTTGATGCCGGTTTTATTGGCATCATCCAGTTGTTTGGTGAGTTTGTTTATTTCCGCTTGTGCTTCTTCGTCCGTTGATTTTGAAAATATTGACTTTGGACCATATGATTTTAATTTTTCATCTAAAACATTGAAATTTGCCATTAGAACGTTGTATTCGACAGTCTTCTCCATGAGTTGATCCTGGGTGGTTTGAAGTAAATTCGAAAGACGTTCACCATCCTCTTTCTGGGCCGAAATGGTTGCTTCCAAATTATTAATTCGTTCTTGATCGCTGGCATCGGAGGCGGGCGTATTCAATGCCGACTGAAGAGATTTCTTCAAATCATCATTTTCACTTTCAAGAGTAGCAATTCGGGTTTCAAGTTGTTGAATTTGATGCACATATTCGGACACATCAATTTCTTCGGTTGAGGTCGTTGCCATTGTTGTTGTTGCTGATTCTTCTTTTTCATTTTCGAGGCTTTCAATGCGATGCTGAAGTGTCTCATTGATTTTATTCAATTCATTCAATTTGTTAGCATAGTCCTCAACACTGCCAGTTTTACTATCCAATTCAGAGTTTTTAAGCGTTAAATCAAAGCGAGCCGTCTCCAGTATATCGTTAACCTCTTCCAAATTGGCAATACGTTTATCCTTGGACTGTATCTCTTTCTCAAGTGCTGCAATCCGTTTATTCAATTCATCTTCATTGGCCACGAAATTCTCTTGCATTTTAACCATTTCCTGTTTAGTCTCTTCTAGCAAATCAACCGTATCTTTGCCTTTAAGCGACAGTGATTCGGATATCAGATTGGCTGCTTTGGTTTTTGCATCGATGAGACCGTCTTTCTCTTTAAGATTCTCTTCCAAATCCAAAATGCGAGCATTTAATTGTTGAATCATTTTCGATTGTTCGGAATCTGGATCTCGGTGTAAAAATTCATGTTCTTTTTGTTTCATCTCATTTTCCAAATGTTTGATACGCTTTTCCAAGTATTTAATTCGTTCACGTTCCAAATTAAAACCGCCACTTAAATCGCCAACCGATTGATGTTTCAATGATTTTGTCGACAGTGCCGATAAATCACCAATTGAATTGCCCAATAAATGCGAACGATCCAATGACTGTTGTGAACTATTGAATTTGGCCTTTAATTGGGTCACCATTTCTTCGATGCCACGTTTATTCGATTCTCGTTCGGCCATACGCAAACGATTCTGCTCCATTTGCTGGCGTAATAATTGAATCTTTTCACTGCCCGGCGCCTCGGAGCGCCTTCGTTGAATTGGCGTCACAACAGATCGGTCTACACTTTCAGTTTCAATCATACTCATGCTACCGCTACTACAACTTTCAATCGATATTTCTTCTCGTATTTCGGTGAACGATTTTTCTAAAATTGAAACAACAACAAACAATTACAAACCGAAAAAAAAAACAAAGCAAAGTGCAAAAGAGCATTCAAGTGAATACAAAGGTCGATTGGTTTTAAATTACCACTCGTCTGTCTCGATCGTGATGTCTTCGATTTTAGATGTGTTAATCGCTGTGCTATATTTTTCGCCTTCTCTTGGGCGCTCGCCGTATTTTTACCATGATCTTCTTCGGACTGTCGAACAAGCTCTTTCAACGCTGTAATTTTAGCCTGTAAACAGAAGCACACGCATAACTCTAATGAAAAAGCACTTTTTCTCCAAAAAAGTAAAAGAAAAATTCAATTTACCTGCTGTTGGCTAAAATTTTGCTGTAAATTTGTTAGGCTGCCTCGTGTTGAATCGACTGAAATCTGATCATCGCCCGTATCTATGTGTGTCCCAGTTTCAATCGGATCGTTGTCTGACATTTTGGCCTTTTTTAATCAATGGTTCCGTCAATACAATTTATTTACAATTCCGCACAGAAACAAAAAAAAAATACTAAAAACAAATATCTGCTGAACACAAAAGAAAAACAAAGTTAGAAAAAAACATTGTGTTTAATACATTGAATACATTTTATATCGAAAGTGAGGTGTGACGTCACACAAAAATGTACGTATCACTTTTTTTCAGTGTTAATATCACAAAAAAAAGGTTCACTTTCAAAAAGTAACACACAGATGTTGTTTTCTAATGTATTGATCGCTTTGATAGATAAATTGTATGCAAAAATTACCGTAATTTTTTTTTAATATCGAATATTCACCACATTTTTTACGTCATCTCACATAAATGAGAAAAACTCAACTAAATTTGTTTCGATTGAGAAAATTTTTAATTACAAAAATACAAAATAATTAGGTTTTTCTCTTAAACAATATACAAAAGCTACGTGTAATGTACAATCGCGACATGTCATCACTTGAGTTAAGACTCGGAATTCACATCGATGTAGCAATACAGACGGATGAAACAACCGGTTGTCTCACTTCAACACACACCGATGATGGTGCGAATCGAGTGAAAGGCAAATAATGTATTTGACAGTTCGTATGTCATTCGTTCAATGGTATGTGTGTGCTGCTCACTGAACAGAATATCGATGAGCAGAAATGTCAAACATTGGTAGCCCGAAAAGAATGCAGCCAATTTTCGATGCTGTCAGTGTGTGTTTGAATATGTAGCGATATAGAATGAGGGAATCCAAAAATAATCGACGCACTCATTTTGCACATATGTTCATAACATCAATAATGTATCCACTTGAACGAAATGAAAAAGATATAAAATTTTAAAATAAATCTTTGAAGAAGTTAAATTGTCGAATGCTATTTTTGTTTGTAGAAAATCTGTTTGGTGTTTGCCGGGTTGAATGTTTGCAATTCCAGCGGAGAAGAAATAAACGATAAATACACATCACATGCTTGGGGAATGAGTTCATTCTACCTTTGCGTTCATTGTACTGGCGGCGCGTGTATTGCGGAAAAAAACCCGTACAGTTAGCAACCACCTATCGGCTTCTAGCTTAAATAAATAGCACATATCAATTTTGGGCACGTAGATAAAAACTCAATTTGAGTTGAGTCTGTTGTTTGGAGCGTTGGCTGAAAACGCAAATTATTCGATTTATTTAAAGAGCACCAACACATACACAATTCGCTCATGTGAAGTGTTTATTTTGCACATACATCCAATATAACATGTTTCTTATCGTACTCTGTATATATCATGATCTCAACACAAGCTTTTTTCAATACAATTTTTTTCGGTGCTTCGTCGTTTGCCAGCTATGTGCCTTTTTTTGCATGATTTGACATTTTACACTAACAATTTACGTTCCAAGAACGGGTAAATAAAGTTGAATATTTGTTGTGATTATTCCAAATGTTTAGTTAAAATTGGCAAGAGAGGTGACGCATCACACAAAATTGATCCTTTTGTGTATTTGAATAGATCAGTTTATCGTAGTAGGCGGTGGAATCTTAATGCAATATTTTGATGATTTTGATCGACATTTCAATTAGATACGCTATTTCATCGAGTTCACATTTTTATTTTTCATCGACTTTGGAATTTTTCTACAATATTTGTTTTGTCTTTGAAAAGTAAATAGAAGAATTTCAAAAATTTTCAGTCCAAAAATCAAATAATTGCAGAAAATGTGAGCTCAAAAGGGCGTAGAATATTTTCACGTTCGATTCAGTTTTATTTCTAGGGATTCAGTTTTTTTTTCAATGAATATTCATTCATAATGAATAGTATTCATTTTCCAGGGGAGTTTTCCAGACACCCAAGCCAGAAAGTATAATTTTGTTTGGCTTATAAAGAATTAAAACGAGACACACACAGAGAGGGACACAGGCAGAGTTTAACGAAGAGTTTTATTGTTGAATATTGACAAAATGGAATTTCATGACACTGAGCTCGCCATATATGCGTTGAATATCTACAACAACATGACGTAAGCGCCAACTAAAACTGAATTTGTCGAAACATATATTATATATACACGAGAAAATGTGCGTTTAATAAACTTTTATTAAATATGAGGTTTGATGAACGATAACATATTCTCTTAGTTATCGTAACTTATAAGATCTGAAGAACTAAATGCTTGAAATAAATATTATTATAAACGGCTGAAAACGCGTTATGAATCGGATTTTTTTGTGTAAAACATTGTAATTTGTTTGATTGGCACATGCAAGCTGTGGTGTCTGGTTAGTTAAGTTTTGACGTAGCCTAATTATATTTGCATTCTTAATGGGCATATTTCTGTCAATTTGATGATTGCCGATGAACAGGTTGGAAAATGGATTTGTGTCGGTATTTTGGTCATTTGATTGTGTGTTTTATGAGCATATTTTATCGTTCAATGCTTCACAATAATAAAATAACGAAACATAAGTAAAATGATTGCAGTTCATAAAAGGGAACGATCGATGGTTTAATGGCCGAATGGAATAAATGAATTTTTAATGATCAACAACGAAGCGCCAATAATACATATATCATATAATATGAGCGCAAGAGCGGTCGATTCACTTGACGGTGCAAAATAAAATGATGAATCCCATCAAAATTATCTGGTCGATGGTGGCAATGGTCGTCGCCGCCATCGTAGAAGTCGTTGTCTTTAATTCACAAATCATTCAATCTGTGTGATAGTAGCTACGAGACGCTCTCGATTCACTACCATTCATCGAATCATTTTATCTTTATTTTAAACCGCGTTACAATGGAATTTTTTTCTTCTTCTTTCAGTTACAATATGCAATCATATCGCTGTTGTTGTTAAACGGTTTTATATTTACGGTCCTAATTAAATCTTAAACACTTGCCTGAAATAGGCAAAACGCCAGTAAGGTTATTCTGTTTCAGTTTTCCCTGCTTCATTTAGTTTTCCAATTCACTTGCACTTTTTTTTACATGGATGACAAATCGCTCTCTCTGTCTGTGTCTCATCTGTCCTGTTTTTTTTTTTGTTTGTTTGTCTGCTATTTTAAGAGGAATCATGTGAAAATCCAACATTCCAAATGAAGACAATAAAATTATATTTGTGAGAATTATCAACAGGCAGTGGCCAAGGCATTTAAATTTCACATTGATCACTCTCATAGTGTGTCGCTTTTATTTTCTCAATACCATTATTGTTGTTGCTGCTGCTGGCGTTGCCGTTGTTGTTTGATATTCTATCTGCTGTTTTCTCCCATTTGATGTGTGTGTGTTTTTTGTTTGACTGTTTTATTTGTTCTGTTTCTTTGAGTTTTGTGTTTTGAGTGCAGAATCATCGTTTTATTTTCGTGAAATGCATTTCGACAATCAAACAAAGACGACTTCCTCTCGCATTACCTCGAGATGGTATATTTTCCCAAACTTTTCACAACTCAAACCACCTAGATGCGGTGTATGCGGGTGACCTGTCGTTTATTGACTCTTTTTTGCTCTCAATTGAATTGTAAAGAAATGATCGCCTTCTTTACTTTTTTCTCTCTCAATACGTTCATCTTTGTTTGAATTCGTCAATTTTCGAATGATGATGCAAAAAGGTAAATACGACATGTGTGTACAATTTGTGTGTGTGTGAAAGAGATTCTTATTTTGATTTGTACAATTGGAAATTTATGCTGGATTAAAATAGCAGCAGCTGCACACTATCAATTTATTATTTTCGGTTTCATTTAGACATATTCACTTGTTGTGTTTTTTTTTCAGGTCTCTTTTATTTTAGACACAGAATTGTTGTCGGTTTACATATGCTTCTCTCATCCTTTAATGGGTTGTGTGATCGTTCCGTTTTTGGGCTCTTTAAATTTTTGCACAATGAGTTGCACGCATATACGCTCCCTCTCTCTCGCTCTCGCGTTGTTTCATGTATACATGCGTGTGTACCTTTCGGCATGTGTTGATTTGAATTTATTTTCTCCAATTCGAATGAACGTAGAATGTTATTTATTTTTCGTTCATCAGAAGCGACCGAAAGGAAACAAAAGAGAAAATTTGATGATATACTTTATAGTCGAAAAACGACCGCATTGCACTGGAGTCAATTCGAAAATGCGCCAATCGACCGACTGATCGGCAGCAGCAACAGCAGCACCAACAACGAGAAGAGCTGAAAAAGGCGCATACGATTTAATACACGCACCGAACAATCCAAAATGCAGAAACAACTGAAAATTAAAGAGCAGCAGATGCATCCAATGCCATTGCCAGTGTCTGTGTGGTTAATAATTTAATATATATATTGCATTTTCTTCTTATTTATATTTTGTGTTCGGGAGTTATTCTCCTCATTCTCTCCCACTGTCTTTTTCGCTCTGTCTCTCGCTCTTTTTGCACCGTCTCCTCTCATCTGTTTTGTCCGGTCTGTATTTTGGATGTGAATACATCGGATGCGCGCGTGCGTGTGTATTTGCGAATGTTTCGCCAAAGGTTGTGTTGGGCCATTTAAATTTTAAATATCCAGCGCACAACTGTTTAAATGTCTCGAAAGGATAACAAAAGAGATCGCGCAAAAATATGTGTATGAATGCGACGGAAAACTCTAATAGAGCCAATAGAGTGACGGTGTTTGTATATGCGCAAGCTGCTACAAATACATACAATTTGATTTCAAAGTCCAAGCGCATATATCCAAAAAAAAAAAAAAAACATAACGATACGCGCAAATGCAGATGCAAAATAAAACGAACGAAAACAGCTTGATGTGTGATCATTGTGTATTGGTGAGAATTGCGAATGTTCACACAGGCGACTCGATTTAAATGGCAAAGTAAAACGAGAAAATAATATCCACCGAGAGATGCAAAGATATGAGCATATGTACACTTTGTTACCGGTGTATACGATTCGTCTTTTAAATATGAAAATTCGCATTCTTATTCCGGATAGTTCGGCTCGTTTACATTGTTAACATATTGATCATTGTGGCCTGTACTAACATCGACGCTATGGTAGTACAACCTGATGCTTTTTGAAAAAATTCGAATCATATTCGAATATTTGTGACACGATATATTATCACCAATTGAGTTGCTGCCCTGTTTTAATTGTTGCCCATGAAAAACGCATAAATTTTATTTCGCTTCCATATTTTAATTCATTTCCAATTGGAATTTTTTTGTTTGTATTTGTGCACGAATTACTTGTGGTACATTCACTTCTAGCGAAGAATTTATCGAGGGAGAGAAAACAAAAATGGGAAAAATAAATACGAAAAGAGTGAATTGTTTGATTTTGCAAAGTCGCATTGACAATGTTGCCGTTCAGTTGGTATGCAATGTAAGTCAAAAAATCGAAAATTAAGCGACAAATGTTAAGCGAAATGTTTGCTAGCTGCACAACGTTTGCTCCGGCAAATGCATGGGACTTTGATAAGACCGCCTAAATTCCACAACAACTACTCA